TGCAACTGAACAAGATGTTTTTAGTTTGTGGATGTAGAGATAACTGTTGCCAGAGCTCCACATGTGATTGAATATCTGTTTCCACATCGTCATCTGCCCTCAGTGCAGTCGGCCGGCTTCAGCTTCCACTTCTTAATGAGGCAAATTATGTCTTATAGGGCTGGACTGTTACCGATTCATTAAGTGCAAGTCAATAAAAATTTCCCGGAAAGCATCAGAGTGTGCTGAACCTTGCATAGGCAAGTTCCACGTAAACCACCATTAATCCATCCTGTCTTACCCACCTTTCCCTCATCCTCATGGATGATAATACGCACACACAGAAAGAGGAAAGCTGCTAGAGATAAAGAGGGTGGAGGGGAACATTGGCTCAGAAATGGAGTTCTTCCTTCAGCTCCTTTTTCTCAGAATACTTGGCAGGCATTCCTAGTCAGGAGGTAGTTGAATATGTGAGGGATTTTTAGAAAGTTCTTGGAGAATGTGTATTATGAAAGAACTAAGCATGGATTTCAAAGATGTCTTACACCCAAATAAACTTGTACTTTAGTTCCATTTTTACACAAAATTTTTGAAGTCTTCTTGTTTGAACAGAAAGGGGGGGTACCTTAGTTGGCTTCAGCAGTGTCTCAGATCAACTCACAGAAAGTGGGCCTGCCCCGTGGTCTAGTGGTTAGGGGATTTGGATCCCACATGGCCAATTGTGGTTGAGTCCTAGACTTGGCAGCTTGAGAAACATTCTGGTCATGTGTGTGCCCAAAATCACACAAAAGAAATGAAGGAGAAGAGATTGTGATGTGACCTTCTCCCATGGGGGAGGGGGTCTTTCTCCCTCTCCTTCTCTCTGTCTCTCTTTTTTATTCTCTGGCAAAACAAAACAGAACAAAAACAACAGCAACAAAAATCAACTCACAGAAAGTGCAGTGAACCACAAGACCAGGAGTAAATTCACTATAGAAAGCACATGTGAGAAAGGAAATGTTCAAAAACCAAGTTCTGAAGTGTTTCAGAGACACAGAGGAACCTCATTGCAACGGACGTCTTCCACTTAATGTAGGACACTCTAAACGGGCTGCTGTTCTGCACCTCCTGGTCTGTTCCACAATCTACCTCATGCTGAAACTTAGGAGCCATGCTATTCGTCTTTCCCTCACACCCCACAGCTGATCCCTCAGCGAGTCCTTATGATCAGCTCTGTTCAGTCACACATACTAACACCCCCCCCATATTCAATTTCGATTCATGCTTTCTCCAAATCTGTATCACACAGGTGTTTCTCAGATGCCTTCAGGCTTGGGTGCATTGGGTGGGGAGTTCCAGAGTCCTGGGCACCAGACATGGTCAAGAAGGGGTTGGTGTGGGCTCTGAATACTCATAGCCCCTTGAGTCTGTGGATCTTCTCTTGATAGGAGCTCAGCAGAGGAGGCCAGTCAGGACCTGCTAAAGCAGAGGCCTGCCCAAGGGTCTGTGCAGTCAGGGCAAAGGCAGGACTGCCCTTAAGACTAAGTCCAAAGCTCCTCCTGAATGAGGAGATCCCCCCCATTTCTACCATTTCTATTCTCTTCTACATCACCTATAAGGGGACACTCCACTGTAACATATCTCCTGTCAGCACCCAGAATGACCTTTTATAAATATGAGCGACTTCAAAAAGTTCATGGAAAGCAAAGTTAAAGTGTTTATTTTGGTATAAAAAATAATTTTTTTTTTTGGAGAGGTTTTTCGCTATAGGGTGCGTGCGCTCGCCAGACAGAGAGAGACAGGGAGACAGAAAGTGAGAAATCACCCCCCCGGGGAGATGGCCACACCGCAATCCCTTCTCCTCCATTCTCCTCTCGGGATCTTGGGCACGCATGCACACGCGCCGGGCGTGAGTTTTAAGCCACTGGGTCCGGGACGCGAACCGTGGTCGACTACGTGGGAGTCCAGCGACATAGCCATTACGCTAACTACTGGTTCCCTATTTTGGTATAAAAATTTTTGAAATCCATGCAGAATTTTTACATAATAGGCATTTCGATGAACTTTTTGACAGTCCTCCACTCTATAGCAATCAGATCATATTACCCCATTGCTTAAAATTTCCCCCTTACACTTAGAATAAAATCTCAACTTCCTGACCTTACAGGCCTGTTTTGGGGTGGTCAGGGACAAGGAGGAGGGCCATACACTCTATTCTTGGAGTTAATGGCATGGACTTTGGCACTCAAAAGCCTGGGCTCAAATCCTGTTTAGCCCCTTACCATTTGTGTCAACTTGAGCAAGTTTAAACCTCCTGAAGCTGTAGTTTCCTCATTCATAAACTGGTGACAATATTAGAAGTACTTGCTTTATAGAGCTGAGTTAGGATTCACTGGGATGATTTGTGAAAGCACCCAGTACCTCACATTCAATATTAACTGATAAAAAAAAAAAGAATCATAATAATGAAAAGATTAAACCCAATGTCAGCATCTTCAACTATGAACTTTTCATACACTTACTTAGCTGACAAGCTTAGGTGTCTAAATATGTCAGAAGTTTCCTTGTAAAAGACAAGATAACAACTAAGTGAATAGTATAAAATTACAACATTAACAGTAAATATCCAGAATGGGGGCCAGTAGGTGGCATGGTGATTGAAGTGCTGGACTCACATATGGCCAGCCATGGTTTGAGTCCTAGACCTGGCAGCTTGCTTTCTCCCTCTCCCCCTCTCTTTGTCTCTCTCTGGTCAAATGAAAATATTATAATAATGATAATAAATAAAATTAAAAAAGGAAAATATCCAGAATACCGTGATAACACTGCCTGCATCACAATTTTAAAGACATTTAAAAAGCTTTTATTTTGTGAGGTTTCACATTGACTGCAGAGGAATAGCTCAGGATGTGAGATGAACAAGAAGTGTTTGTGAAAAGTTGTCTGTATATAATTAAGATAAAAACCTTCACTTTTTTCTAACATTCCTCAACCCCCCCAAAATAAGTCTCCTTAGTAAGGTGTTTTTATCAGTTTAGCGATAACTGTTGCCAGGATCCAACATGTAATTGGATATCTATTTCTACATTATTATCTACCTTCAGTGCAATCACCTCCCCTCATTCTGAATTTAGGTTGAGAAAGAACAGGGAAAAAAAGAAAAAAAAAAAAAAGGAAGGCTTGAAGAGTTTTCTCACCATATCAGGGCCCACTCCTCATTCGGAGTATGACTTATGTCTACAATATTCTTGACCTGCAGTTGTCCACCCAGGTAGCAAATACAGTTTCATGTCATGCAAGTATTGGATTATCAGATCACCCATATCCTCATGCTAGTCACTACAAAAGCTGGTGACAGGGTCCTGCCCTCTGCATTCCGGACCTGCTTCCAGGTTCACAGGGGCTCATAAACTGCTAGTCTTTATACTTGGTCATTTGACCAATGTGGCAGACACACCTTAAGTTGATCTCCAGGGACTCACGTCCTCGCCCTTGAGTGCGGAATGTGTGACTTGTTTCTAGCCAACAGTAAGGCAAAGGTTATGGCATGTCACTCCCTTGATTAGGCTACTTTATTTAAGGTTCCATATCAGCAAACTGGCTCTGAAAAAGCTGAAATATTGTGAGATGGTTGCATGTCAAGGCACTGTGGCGGGTCACTAGGAGATGAGGCAGTCCCCACTGATGACCAGAAAGAGAATAGGAACCTCAGTCTTGCAGTCTCAAGAAGATGAATTTTGCCAAGAATCTGAGGGAACATGGAAATGGATCTTCCCCTGCTGAGCCTCTGATCTAACCACAGCTCCTCAGCAAGCCTGCAACTTGGTGAGACCCTGGGCACAGGATCCAGCTAAGCTGTGCCCAGATTCCTGACCCAAAGAAACATTGAGATAATAAATGGATGTTGTTTTAAGCTGCTGAGCTGCTGCTTATTTGTTGTACAGCACAGAAATTTATTAGTAATATAACCTATAAATCCACTTAACTATGCCATAATCTGGTATCTCCATCTTATTTTTAAGTTTATTTACTTAAGGTTTTTTTTCTTTTTTTTAAATTTTATGTCTTCTGAGAAAGAAAGAGTTAGGCAGGCGTCCCCAACAGGGTCACCTCCAGTCTCAGTTAATTCAGAATATAGGCACATTTGTATATCCAGCTTGCTTAAGACACAAACATAGGACTTTTCTATATAGGTCCATTGTGTTACCTCCTGGCACCCTCTCTATCCTATTCTTGGGGATATCACTGCTAAATGCTCTGGTGAAATCCATTGTTTTTCATTCTCTAATCAATGTAATAACTGTTAACATAAAGAAATAAGATTAGATTCACTTGCTATCTTCTTCTTTTTGGTGTTTTGTTTTGTTTAGGTTTTGGCCATGGGGTACCTGTGCTTGCTGGAGGAAGACAGAAAGAAAGTGTGAAAATATCCCCAGGGGAAATGGTCACACCACAATCCCTTCTCCTCCATTCTCCCCTTGGGATTTTGAGCATGCACACACATGTGCCTGGTAAGATTTTTCAAGCTGTTGAGTAGGGATGTGAACTGTGGTCAACCATGTGTGAATCTAGTGCTCTGTGGTCCGCCACGTGGGAATCTAGCACCTTAATTATCATGCTATCTGCTGGTCCCACCTGCTGTCTTCTTAATGCAGTCATTCTGTGGACTACAGCTTTCCTCAAATCATTCTTGGTCTTGAAGGCAAATTCCCCATTCTATTTAGTGTATAGAGTCTATTTATCTCCTTTTAAAAATCAGAACTACATTTGCTTATTGCCCACTAGGTGATGCCCTAAAATTCTCTTGATTTCAATCTAACCTAAGGGCAAGAATCATTTGGTCTACTCTGTGTTCTGTAGAATCTGGGTATAGCATCTTCCACATAGTACTTTCAACTTAAAACCTGAGAAAATACACGAGAAGGTTCTTGGTCACATCTGGAAACAGGACTCTAAATGGTAGAGTTCTGTTACTCTTTTAGGTTACTCTTTCAGTAAGCTAAAAGAATTAATATAAACACAGATTCAGAATTTTCACTTACCTTGCAGTATTGTGAAATTCTTGATGAGCTGACCATGCTTGGAATCCACCAGTTTCATTTCTTCCATAATTACTGATAAGTTGGCCACTTCGGTATCTAACCTTGACCTCATCATATCTTGTTGCATCCTGAGAGAAACAGAATCCAAACGGATGTTGGCCAGTGTATTATTCAAGGAGGTCAAATCATCCGTGTGTTTGGTTAGGGTATCTGTGCAAGTGGTCCTGACTTCATTCAGATTGCTGGTCAGCGTCCGCAGGTGGTGGGCTGTGTAACTAATGTTACTAATGATGTTCACAATATCTGTCTCAAACACCTGAAAGCGTTCCTCCAGTTGGCTGAACTTGATGGCTGTTCTATTTTCTGCATCCTTGTGTAAGTCCTGAAGGTCTTTCAGGTTCTGCTCATTGGCTTGTGAGATAGTGGTGATGTTGTCCATCTGACCTGTGAATGAGTTGAGTTGGCTGTTCATATCCTCCAGGGTGTCGTTGTTGGCTTTGGCCAAGGCAGAATTGTTGGCAGCCAGTGTCTGCAAGCTCTGCACTTTCTCCTTCAGCCAATCGGTGTCCTTCTTGGCTTGAAGAAAAACCTGTTGCAGATTTTGGAAGTCGTTCTTGATTCTCTGGATAGCCTGGCTTGTGTCATCTACAGACCGCTGCAGATTAGTGATGAGATTCCTCTGCTGCACCTGGGTCAGGTTTAGGTTATTGAGGTTCATAATGACCACATTGTGAGAATACATTTGGTTTTGTAGGTTTCCCTGGAGCACACTAGTATCTTGTTGCAGATTGGTGACATAACCATTATATGCCTGGAGGGTTTTGTTTACGGTGGTGATGAGAAAAGAGTTATTCTCCAGAGTTTCTTTCAGTTGACTCTGCCTGTCCACCAGTGCATCCCCACTTGCCTGTAACTTCTCCAGTGTATCTTTGTTCTTGCTGGTTTTTTCTGTAATCTCATGAAGTTGCTGACGAAGATCCAGAATGTCTGATCTGAAGGTGGAGAGCTCTGAGTTGGTACTTATAGCTTTCTTCCCAGTTTGGTCCCCTGGAATAAGAAACGTGTTACTTAGATAGGTGGTATGGGGAAGTGTTTAGGCAAAGTCAAAGGTCTCAAGCACACTTAACTATTTGGAAAAGTCATGACACATTTTTGCCTAGAAAAACATATAATGACTTTTCCGATGACCCAATAGTATGCAGTATTTCACATATAAAAATTTTGGAATATTTGGACTGTGTTGTATTAGTAAAATTCACATATCTATTAAAATTGGATCCTGGGGAATCAGAAAGGGTGCTCACCGTGAGGACCAACAAGCTTGGGTGAACACTTTTCTTAAAGAGGAAGGAGAAGTTTGCTGGATTTTAGGGTACTGGGCAAGGTGTCAATTGGCTTAAATTTACCAAAATTCTTTTTCTTTTTTTTAGTTTTGTGATAGGGACTATGCGCTTGCCAAAGAGAGAAAGGGGGAGGAAGAAAGCACCCCCCCTCCCCGATTGGCATGAGTCACACTGCAATCTCTTCTCTATTTCTCCATCCTGTTGGGATTTGGGGCATGCATGAACGTGCCCCGCGTGTTTCTCAAGCCACTGGGGCTAGGATTCAAACTGCAGAGTTAGCTATATGAGATTCGGCATCCTTAACCACTGAGGTGGCCCTCAGCCAAATTATTTAAAAATGAAAAAAAAAGGAGGCCAACGGGTGCTATGGGTAAAAATGAAAAAAGGAGGCCAACGGGTGGTATGGAGGTTATGTCACTGAACTCCCACATGGCCGAATGTGGTTCAAATCCCAGACTTAAAAGACCTTTAAAATCTTTTTAAAAAGACTTAAAAATCACAACAGATGCATGGGTGTGCGTGCCTAAGATCCCAGGAGAATGGAGAAGAAGAATTGTGGTGTGGTCATCCCTCCTGGAGGGTGATTTCTCACTTTCTCTCTCACTGTCTCTGTCTCTCTGGCAAGCACAGGCACCCTATATGGCAAAAACTTCTTAAAAAAAACAGGAAAAAAAATCAAGGAACAGAAAAGGCTGGGATATTTTATTTTATAAACTAATTTCTATAATTATTCTATATAATTTAAAATATTTCGAATAGGAATATACTGAACATTTTTTAAGAAAGACTTTAACAGAGCTATTCATGATTTGTCTCAGGATTGATCTTAAAGACTGTATTTGGCACATACAGTTTTTAGGAGAGGATTCAACTCCAAAATTGGCCCTTAATATAAAAATTTTAAATTCCTTGAACTAAGTCATGGGAAAAAATTCAAACACAGCAAAAAAAAATTATGTACTTCTAGGTGAACATGAATTTAACAGAGCTGTGGTAATTTATACAAAATAAAGTTAGGGGATTCCACTTAATGGCTCATTCTTGTTGCAAATTACCTAATTTTTTCAGGTCACTTTCCACTGCTGTGAGCTTGTTGTCATAGGTTTGACGAGATGTCTCCATGCCACCTGTAACATTGTCCATTTTTTCTACAACTAAGATTTGGAAGACAATATATTAGTATATATATATATATATACCTATATACTTATCATGTTTTAATTTTCAGTTCAAGATACATTATCTCATTAGAGAAAAAATAGTAAAACAAAGGTATAAATTGAAATCAAATAAGCAAAAAAACTTGTTCTTTTAGAAAAATAAGTAACTTGTCACAAAATCCAGTGGTTTAATTTACTTGGTTGAGAATTGTATGTTAACTGTTTTCATGATTCTGTAATGCCTTGTATATTTCAAAAATTTCTGAAACGAATTTAAATTTTTTCGTGCACTATAGAAGTCCTCAATCATTATTATTTCCTATATTAATTTCTTTTTTTCACATTTGTGCTAGTTGAATCTTCACATTTTTTTGAGTTTTTTAAAATTTTCATTTCATTTTCTTCCATACATTCAATCATATTATTATTTGTCTTACAAAATGGATATTTCAACAGGTGAACTTTCTCCCTAGTACTGTTGATAAAACTACGAAATATCTTCAACAGATAATACTACACCTCTTTGTGTCATAAATGCTTTGCCTCCTTTTCCCTCTCCCAAATGTCCTTCCTCAGACCCTCCTCTTTCACACACACTATATCTGATATTTACATTTATACACTGCATTTCTATATCCTTTAGACAATCAGTTTCAGTCACAGAGTGCATGAATATGGAAGACTTACTACTGAGTGAAGCAAGCCATGCTATGAAGGAGAGGCATTGTATGTCCCCACTTAATATATGCCGAGTGTCTGCACTCTATGACTGAAACTAATTTCCATAGAAGGAAGCACAAACCGTTGTGGTCATTTACAACATTTTGTCTCTCATTGGCCTCCCTAACACTCCTGCTGGTGGGACTCACTTACCTAGCATGGGATTCCACTGGCAAAGAACTGCTAGCGCAAGTCTATACACAGTCATCACAGAAGAAATGCAAGGTCAAAAATATATGGCACTCATGATTCCACCACCAAGGCTGAAAATGCACTTTTTGTTAGTGACGACTGAATCTGTAGTTTATCAGTATCCAAGCAGATACCTAAGTGATGTTTCTAAACAATAATTTACCAAAAAAAAATTTTTAAGCTTATGTATGAGAGGGTCTTTAAAATGTTCATGGAAAATACATATTACGAAGAAACTATGCATGGATTTTGACATTTTTTTGGTACCAAAATAAATGTAATATCATTTTCCCATGAACTCTTTGGATTTCCTTTTATTTATTTCTTCCCTGAGATAGGGAGAGAGACAGGCACACAGAACAGGTTCCTTTACAGTGCTTTAGCTGAGAGGATGCCAGTAATTGTTCAACTACATTGCGTTCAAAGTCCCATATTGTAAAAGCAGTTCTCATTGTTGAGGTAACTAGCAGACAAGTGTGAGTTACCTCTTACTGCAGTGAACAACTTGTACTTTTACAGTTTACAATGGTTTTTCATTCAGTGACCACATATTTAAGATTTTCAATTCAGAACAAAGAAATATACATGGGCTTAATAATTCAAGAAGACTACTATTTCTGTTTCATGGCAATGTACACTCCCACTCTTTTGGTTTTATTTTACATAGATTTTCACTGGGCGAGTCTTTTTACAAACTGAAAACAAGAAATAAATGCTCTATTTTCCCTTCTTCCACAGCAAGAAACAGGGTTTAAAAATGACAATTACTGGGACCAGCAGTTGGTGTAATGGTTATGTCGCTGGATTCCCATGTGTTCGACAGCAGTTTGAGTCCCAGACCGGTGGCTTAAATTCATGCTGGGTGTGTGCATGCCTGCCTAAGATCCTAAGAGGAGAATGGAAGAGAAGGGATTGTGGTGTGGCCATCCCCCCTGGGGGGGGTGATTTCTCGCTTTCTGTCTCTCTTCTCTCTCTGTCTTTCTGGCAAATGCACATGCCCTATAGCAAAAACCTCTCAAAATACACCCCCTCAAAAAAAAAAACCCCAAAAAAAAAAAAAAAAAAAAAAAAAAAAGAAAAGGTACATTTCTCCAGAAGTGACTCCCATGAGATCTAATATTTAGCAGCTTTGAATGAAGACTGACTGTTTTTGGTATCAAGAAACTCTTGAGAAAAAAAAAGACTTTTATTTTTCAAAGCATGAATATGCTTTATATATTAACCAGGAGTTAATGGATCCAATTTATTTTATTCATCACATGGTCTACTTCTTACATGATCATTTGAGAAGATCCTCCTGGCTTTTATCAGGAAGCTTAAGTAAGTTTCCATGTGCTTGTGTGGCCTGAAGTAAACTCGCTCTTGGATCCTGGAAGCTTCCCCGGAGAAGCTCACTCTGCTTCCTCTCAAGCTTCAACAGTCTGGCCATAATGAAGTGTTCACCCAATGAAATGTCCCCACCCAAGCCTTTCCATGTTTTCTTCTCTCCACCTAGAATATGATTCCCAGGTCTCTTCACCAAGCTAAGTCATAATTGCTCCTCAAGACTCAGCTCAACCCTTCCTGTTGGAAATCTTTGCTGAGGTGCGTCTTGCAGCATTCTACAGTATTTCCCTACTATAGGACTTAGCACATTGTCTTCTTAGGGCTTGTTTACCATGGATCCTTTAAGGGCAGAAAAATTTGTATTCAGTTTTATCTCCAGCTTATAACTCAGTGTGTGACACTTATTTATTATGCCAGTTATTTCAGTAAGGGAGAAGCTGCCTGCTGAGGCCTATGGAAAATTGGCTGAGCTACAGCTCATGCAAACAAACATAGGAACCAACCACCCCAAGGCTGCCACAACATTGGCAATGAGTATGACATTTCATTCGATAATTATTGTTGTTGTTGTTTTTTAATTACACATATAGACACAGAGATACAGTTATAATAATCTGTACTTTAGGGTTGTTTGACAGGCATGCATACTTCTAAATCCCTGGAAACTCTAAAGAACAAAACTTTTCATAGGCATTTTAGCAAAGCTAAGTTAAAAAAAAAAGTACGGAATGTTTACAAGTTTAGGTTCAGTTTTGATTCCCAAATCAAAACATATGCCTCAGTCTGTCCTCAAACCACAAGCAGGATCTTCGGTCCTGCCCTTCTTTCCTGGACGCCAAAGGAGGCTGTAAAGATGTAGTTCTCTTTTACTCTCTAATTTTTATTCCATCTTAGTTTTAAAAAATACAGAACTGTTGTGGACAAGTAATTCAGGTTTGTGTAGAGTAGAAGGAATAAATAATTCTTAAAAAAAAAAAAGACTGTTGGGGCCACCAGGTATACAGAAATTAAGGCACTGGACTCCCATATGGACAACTGTGGTTCGAATCCCAGACCTGGATGGGATGATGGCTTGCTTTCTCACTTTCCCTCTCTTTCTCTCTTTGGTGAGTGTATATGCCCTATAGCAAATTTTAAAAATTAATTAATTCACTAAATTATTCTAAAAGAAACCCCCCCAAACTATTAATCTTGCCTTTCACGCATCAAGGAAACTATTTGCCCTGCTCACAAGTGCTAACTAGTTATATGCACTGGGATGTGTGCATCAGTATCCAAAATTAGAATCTTGGTAAAAAGCTGCAAACTTTAGAGCTGAAATGCTAGCAACTTGCTACTACGTCAAATCACCACGGTAGTGGAGATCCAGAGCTAACACTTGCTATGACAGCACAAAACATTTTCTTAATTTATTAGCACAGATTCTCAACCAGGAACACAGTGACAAAGCCATCCTATCTCACGCAAGGATCTCCCAGTCTACTGACATCGACCACAGTTTGCAGATCATTTTCAGATGAGAAAATGAACAGGAAACACAGAAGGGTTTCCAGAAGTATAGTTTTTCACAGGCTTCCCATTTTGGAAACTGTCTCTTGATAAAGAATTTTTTTTTTTTTTCAGAATATTGTGTTTCAGGTATTATATCTGAAGAGCTGTCCTTCTAGTCCCCAATGTACAATTTTCTATGCTAATCTGACAATACCTTTTTGTTTTTAAGTTTTATTTATTTCTTCTGAGAGACAGAGAGTCAGGTATCCTCAACAGGGTCCACACATCATGACATACCCCAGCCTTAGCCAGTGCAGATCATGCACATATACCTGTATCCAGTGTATGGAGGGAGGCCTCAGGATCCAAACCTAGGACCTTCCCATGTACGTCTGGCATTGCGCAGCATTGTGTTACCACTGTACCACCAACTGGTCCCATGACAATAATATCTCCTATAAGGAGCACTTTGTTATCCTCTCTTGACTTGGGGCACTAACCTTTTTCCTTGTTTTGATTTCACTCATCCTTTAAAGTCTACTGCAAGTCCAAGAGCCTCACTGTGCTAAGCCTTTCCTATAAATTAATTGTTTAATTATTATTATTATTTTTTAGGTTTTTGTCATAGGGTGTGTGCACTTGTTAGAGAGAGACAGGTAGAGGGAAAGTGAGAAATCACCTCCCAGGAGGGATGGACACACCCTTTCTCTTCCATTCTCCTAATGAGATTTTGGATATGCATGCGCACACACCTCATGTGACTTTTAAGCAGCCTGGTCCAGGACTCAAACCATGGTCAGTCATGTGGGAATCCAGTACTTTAACCACCACACTACCTGTTGGCCCCTATCAACTGATTTCATAGCACATCAACTGAACCTTTATTTGAATGACAATAATAACACTATATCATCATTGCAGTTCATCCCTACAACTTCCATTTCACAGATGAAGAAATGGAGGCTCAGAGATGTTTAGCAACTTGCCCAGAATCACACAGCTTGTAAATGACTGAGTGGAATAGCAGGTTGGGGGACCAGCAGATGGCTTAATGGTTATGTTGCTGGACTCCCATGTGGTTGACCATGGTTCGAGTCCTGGACCTGGTGACTAAAACTTCATGCTGGGTGCACGTGTGTGCATGCCCAAGATCCTGAGAGGAGAATGGAGGAGAAGGGATTGTTGCAGGGCCATTCCACCTGGGGGGGGGGCGGAGATTTCTTGCTTTCTGTCCTATAGCAAAAACTCTTTCTCTCTTAAAAAAA